TGTTATTTCACTTTGTGATTAAACAAATTTTACAGGGGCTGAATTTTTGTGCAAAGCCCCCAAAATAGGCCTTTGTGAAGACATGGAAAGAAGGACACGACTGAGATGGAGGAAGGGTTCAGAGTGGACCTCAGAAGAGAAGCCTGGTAAGAGGGTCGCAGGCCTTATCTAGGGGTCCCCAGTACATGAGTGCATTTTTCCTGCACAAAAGTGGATCTAGAAGGACTCCTCCCAGTGAGCCTCTTGAGGACCATTTTGCAGCAAAGATGGGGGATATAGGAGCAGAGAGCAGTTATGTGCATAGAAATTTCCAAGAGATGAAGAAGAAGATGAATTATGAGAGGCCTGTTATCAAAATGAAAGACAGGGAGGAGCAAGGGGGCCCATCCTGTCATGTCAGCGTCCATTGGGCAAGAGTTTGCCTCTTACATGGCAGAGCAGGAGTGAGCATCTGACGAGGAAGGGGACACTCAGGGACAGGAGGCAAGAGCACAGAGGCTTCTGTTGTCCGCCTGTCATTATGTCCTTGGCGTGAAGGGCTCCTCTGCATTGCCATGGCACCCCTTATACACACACACACACAGACACACACGCGCGCGCATGCACACACCCCTACAGTCTGCCTTTGGCCTCCCTGGCTATATCTTCCCTCCTCTGGAGAAGGAGGAATCCAAGACTCACAGGTCATTAAACAATCTGGACATCCCTAATGAGTTTATGAAAATATTTCTGTCATCTGGAAACAGGGGCAGAGCCCGTCAAGACTGGTAAAGACACAGCCAAGTAGAGGTCACTGAAGGTAACAGAAATGAAGGTCTTTGGGCTACCACCTCTTCCCCCAACCCTCAAAGTAATCCTTAGAGCAGGTCAAACAGGTCAAGATTTGTGTATCCAGGACCTGCCAGGCATGTCGTTATGCTGGTTGTGCCCTGTCCAAAGGCTCTGGAGTTAAACCCCCCTGACTCTCCATTTGTCAAGCCAGCTATGAAAACAGACATGAGGCTGCTTCAGTCCAGAGAAAGGTGTGTCTTTTTTCTAATTTGTCTGACCAGAAGGGGCACCATTTTCGATTTCCTGACCCAGAAGGAACACCATTCTAGCACCCAAACAAAGTCAGTGCATGGGCCAGCAGCCCTGTTGAGTGCAAGAGACCAGATCCAGTTCGTATTTTAACCTGACCTCCCAGAATAGCAGAAGGTGGCAAAGGAAGTAAAGAGACCCAGCACTGCTTGTCTCATCTGGAAGGCTCCTCAGGTCTGGAGCTTCTCACCTTAGCCTGGAGCTTACGCTGTTGAGCATCTGTAGACTCTTGCTTTCTCTGAGATTGTAGGCCCAAGGAGGGCTGGGGGGAAGAGCTTTCCTTCTCTCTGCCACTGACCTGGACCTAAAACTTGATTATAGAGGTTCTCTGCAGCTTACATGCCCAGCCCTGAGCTGGTCTCAAGACCCCAACTTTCAGCCCATCCAGATAGAGACAGGTAATTATCCCATCCAGTAACAGTGCTGTAGCAGACAAAAGTCACTCATTTTTGAATGAGTGAATGGATGAGTGAAAGAATGAATGAAATAGAGAGTTTTGTGTTATCCTGGCCTGGGACTCAGAGAAGGCTTTCAAGAGAAGGTGATATGTAAACTGGAGGATGAATAAATTTATCCATGTGAAGTAAGGAACAGGGGGAAAATGTTCTAGGCAGAGGAAATGGCATGTGCAAATGGCCTGGGGTTGGGAAAGCAAGATGTGGTGGCAAAACCAAGAAAACTTCCCAATTGATTGCCTTAAGGTTGTACAAACCAAAATTGGGGAGGGACTGTATGGAAGAGATGAGGTTTGTGAAGGACACAGGATTGGGTTGTAAAGGACACTGTCATGCATGTCAAAGAATTTAGGTTCATCCAAAGAAATGGGACTTTTAAATAAGCAGAAGAGGTTGGTATTTTTAGCATAGGGTCAAGTTAGTGAAGACATTTCAGTAGCACTTTTATCTCTGTTTTCTGGCAATGATAGAAAAGCATGATGCCTTATACAGTTCTCAGTTCTGTTACATGTGGATAGTGGTCAGGTGGAGAGACTGAAAGTGTCACTGTGAGCTTAGTGTATGGGATTGAGAATGTGAAAAAGGCAAGGTCCCTGTCTATATCCATTAGCCTCAAGGGGCCTTACTTTCAGGAAGTCCTTCTCCCTGGGTACTCATGATGCACCAGGACATATGCTTTGAAATTAGTAGTCAAGGTGGAAACGAGTACCTGAGCGGACAAGAGCCCGGCCTGGATGCCTCCAGGTAGCAAGCCACAAGATAACGAAATCCATTATATTCATAGTCCAGCCTGGCTTCCTTCAGGAAGGGTTTACCTGAATCACTTGTGATACACTGGCTACCAAACACTCATCATCTCTGAGGCAAAGATTCCATGACCCCAGACCAAACCCCAGGTCCCAGGTCCCAGGGTCCAACTGCTTTGTGTGATGCTTTCTCATTCCTGACAGAGGTGGTGGAAATACACATGTAACCATTGAACTCACAGAGGTGGTAAAGATTTGGCATCTAACCTGCAAACCAGAAGACAGAAAGGAGCTGAATGGAAAAGGGGTCTTTACATTAATTTTAAAAGAAATCTCACACTAGAAAGCCCCACTTGGGCAACCTTATTTTAAGATCCCTTGTCCCAGAGCAAAACTAGCCAGATTGTCAAATGGGAAGTGGCAGCTGCACTGGGTGAAAGTTGGTAAAGCTGGACCATCACCTTGTCGGTGTGCAAAGCCTCCTGGGAGAATCTGCAAAGGAAGTTCTGCCTCCCCAACTCCAGGAGCTGATATCCTGAGCTGGTGGAGCCATTGCTATTATTCTTACTGTTTCAGTGTCTCTTATCTCACCCTCATGACCAGTTGCTGAGAAGACAGAAATATTTCTTTAAGAAATCCCTAGAGCCCCCCTTCTTTAGGCTCAAAGTTCATAGGAGAAACTGGGTGGGGGAAGCAGGCTTTTGATGGTGAGATCTGTGCTAATACTTGCAGGGCCTGGGACAAGAGTATAGAAGAAGAAGCCACACACTAAATGTTTTTAAATCAAGACAGCAAACTTAGATGAAATATGTTCTCCTATCTTGGCAAACATATCTTTAAAATGATCGGGAGAGTCAGATTTGGATTTAGGGCCTCGGACCCCTCGGAGTGCCGGACCACAACATGACAGTGTGGAGAGAATCTGCCCCAACACCCTGGTCCCTCCTATTCTCCCCCCACATCTTGCTTCATCACCATGACAGACCTCTCACACATGCACATGGACACCTCAGTCCGAACATCCAAATTCCATTCAGATAGCCATGTTTGGACCTACAAATGTGCACACTTGAAGCATGGTCTAACCCTGGGAGAATAGATCATGGAGAGCCTGAAGACACCCTAGAAGGGGACTCAACGGCCATTTAAACAGAGAATTCTGGGACTTAAGGTCTCCAGAGACTAATCTCAAGGAAAGGTTTCCAGGTAGCCCTGCAGATTTCTCGACCCATGGGAATGGTTGTCACTGGAGGAGATCCAGGCAGAGATTCCTCTTGCCCACAGCTAAGCGTGGTATATTGATAGGGACTGATCTAACTGTGTCATCTGAGCTGTAAGACTGGTCTGAGTGTTTAAAGAAAACCATCCATTATACTTCTAAACACTCTATAGCCTTCCCAAAGGCTGGCTCTCCTCCATCACCTCCTTTACTTCTTCATCTGCCCTAGATTAGCCACACCCAGGATTCTGGGGACCCTTCTGCATTCCCAGTCACCCCAAAGCCAAATCTCCAAGCCCTTCCCAAAGCCATTTATTACAAGCACACCCTCCCTGTGCCCCGCCCCCCATCTTGACATCTCAGATTGATGCGAACTCTAGCCACCATCTGCGTTGTCAGCAAGGGTTTCTTGATCCAACTTGGGCGTTAAGGGACTGACAAGGTTAGTGTTGATGGCTTGAGGTCCCCTTACTGAGAAAGCCAACCAGAAGTGATGCTTCACCTGTCAAGAACACTGAAAACCCGAAGTCCAAAGTTCAGGGCCCAGTGTGAGGATGTACAGAAAGGTGTGTGTTTTTACTTGTCATTTGCGACTCTAATGATGGACTCACCTTGCCCGCTCTTCCCTTTCTCTTACACCTTACCTACCTACTAAAGGAGGAGTTCTTGCTTGGTAAGTGGATATAATCCGCAAAGACATGAGAGAATTTATTAGAAGCCACTCGAGAGCCTTAGCTACCTTCTCCAGGGGGAAAGGACACACGCAAATATCCGTAGAGAGCTTTTTTTTTGTTTGTTTTCAGTCAGACAATTTGACTTCCATTTTTTTGTCCCCCCACCCTTTCTTTTCCCCTTTAGTTGAAAACTACTAAAATATCATTTTGTGACCTTGACTTTATATTAAAAAAAAACCCCTCTCATCTTTATTTCATTTCTTTTCCCCATGTGATATTTGTTTAGGGTTCTATTTGGGCAACTTTTTCTTTAAGAAAAAAAAAGTCAAATTCATTGAAGATTTTGTTGACATTTAAAATTTTGGCTTTATCTCCTTTTGTCGTTTTTAAGTTTCAAGATGTATTTTTTCAGGCCCATAGCTTCCTTTCTTTCCCCCTACCTTTCTTTATTTTTATTGTTGTTTTAGGTTAAGGGTGTTTACACACACCCCCTTTCTTTTAAGTTGTCTCTTTTGTTTGAGTTAATTCATTAGAAATTTTGTATAATTTCCTTCTTCTTTTGTTTAATCTGGATCGCATGCTTTTTCTCTGCATGATACCTAAATCTTCCAGTTATCCTAGCAGGGGGTTTAAAAAAAAAAAAGATCTCCTTTCTGTGGTATTCTTTCAGGAATTTGTGCTTTTGTTTTTTGGCGTCTCTTCTTTCCTCTCCTCTCTCTCTTTCCTTTCGTTACAGTGCATCATGATGGTAAACATTTCTTGGTTATTTAGACGCAACCCACGGGCCCGGCACTCAGCAGTGTCCAACGGGTCTTTTTGCTTTCAGATCACTGGGCCGGGGTCTGCTGCCGGCCTCTTTACCAAAACAGCCAGCCCGCTCAGCACCTCCCGAGGACGCTCCCAGGAGTATGACTCAGGCAATGACACCTCCTCGCCACCCTCCACGCAAATCAGTTCAACCAGGTCCCGGGGTCAAGAGACGGGGAGCCCCAGTGGGGGCCTAAGCAAGAGCCGGGACCCCAACAGTGGAAACACCTCTGACTCAGGGAACTCCTTCACCACTTCCTCACCCCAGAACAAGGGGGCCACTTTGGAGAACCTCTCCCCCACCAGCAGGGGCAGAGAGTCAAGGTCAGTGCACCTGGATGGGAGGAGGGGTCCTGGCTGAGCTCCACCATCTCAGTCTCTAACCTGGCACTGCACCACACACACACTCCAAGCCAGGAGACTTTTATTTGCAAAAGAGAGACAAATTAGCATAATTTGGGGGGGGGGAAACCAGGGGTATCAGCTTCAGGTATAGCTGGATCCAGGGTCTCAAAAATGTGTCATTGAGAAATTGCCTTTCCCGTTACTTCTCTCAGCTCTGCTTCCCCCGTCTTGGCTTTATTCTCAAGCAGATCATCCCAAAGAATTTGCAAATATGCCATCCAGTTAACATCCTGTCGATCTAGCTAGCCAATGGAAGGGAAATGCCTCTTTTCCCAAAATTTCAGCAAACTATCAAGGCAAATGCTCATTGCCTCTGCTTAGTCCAGCTTGTTCACCCAAGACCAAACACACTGCCCAGAGGATGCTGTGTTCTTGGCTAGAATTTGTCACATGCCACCATCAGAGCTAATGAATCTTCCTGTGTACAGTAAAATTGAAGAAAGTCTGGCTCTCTGAAGGGAAAGCAGGGTACTGTTAATCAGAAGGAGGAATGGAAGTTGGGCAGGAAAAAAAAAGATGTCAATTTTATCAATAATTCCAGGAGAAAGTCTTAACATTAACTCACTATCATTTAAAAATATACCACAGTATTTACTTTAAAGCTATTATGCCAGAAATACTGAGAATAGCAATAACAACAGTAACAGAAACTATTATTTATGGAGCCCTGACTAAATGCTAGGTATTGTGCCAGGTGCCTTCCACAGATAATCTTCCTAAACTCCTTCTACAACCTTTATGGGATAGGTACTATTATAACTTTCTTTTAGCTAATGGGAAAACTGAAGCTCAGAATAGTTAAGAAACTCAGTTAACAAGGGCTGGTGCCAGGACTGAAAACACAGATTTGTGTCTCCAGAACTGGAGTTAAGCCTGAACAGCATCTAGCAGGTACCTGCTTAATCTGATCTACATGGACAGCGGGATTCAATAATTTAGACCCAACCTTTCACTATGAAATATAAATGATATTTAAATCCATGGCTATTTATGTCATGTCAGCTATGAGCAGAGGGCCGAGTGGAAGAGACATCAGTTCTAAATCAGGGGAACCATAGACAGTAAAAGCGGGGGCTGGCAAGGGAGCAGGGGCATGGGCTTCAGAGCTGGACAGATCAGGATTTGAGACTCTGGGTGGCCATGAGCAAGGAACTCGCCCTTCTGAGTCTTCTCTGTAAATAAGGGGTAATAATAGTACCAACTTCCTAAGGTTTTTGGGGGAATAAATGAGATGATGCTTGTGAAGCACCCAGGATGCTAAGAGGCTCAGCATGTTTATTCCACAGCTGTTTATTGATGACCTAGGACATAATGTCTCAGGCTCTGTCCTCGGTGCTGAGATACAGTGTCCGGAGAGACATGAGTTCTGTCTCCAGAAAGCTTGGTATCTGGCAGAGGGAGATAACAATTACAAGGCCAAGCAAGCCATCTAGGGGTGGGGGAGGCATTGGGGCTGGGCGTTGTGATAACACATTGGGGTGACACAAGCAAACTGAAGGGAGTCAAGAAGCCTGAAGCCATGAGCAGGAGCGGTCAAACGAAGAGGAAAGGGAACAGGCTCCAGGCAGTGGGGATGTTCTACGGCATGCAGACAAGGAAGGGAACAGGACCGTTCCAGGAGAAACCAGTAATCCATTGTGACTGCAGTCAAGAGAGGAAAGCGGCAGAGCTGAGACGAGGGTGAGCAGGGACTGGGTCATGATGAAACCATATTAATGTGATTTGAACTTGACCCTTGACCCAACCCAAACGAACATGTCCTTACTAAGAACCAACAGGAATCCAGCATGGCTCTAGGCAAGGTGAGGATATGACAGGACCCTGTCCTTTGTGTGAGTGTGAACAAGCCTCTACCCTTCTTTAGGTTTCCATTGCCCCATCTACAAAGTGGGCTACACCAGTTTCCCGAACTTAAATCAGCCAGTTTTTGAGTTGTTCCATATCCAGGTACTTCTGTTACTTTTATTTACTTTAATAAACTCACTTTTTAATACAAGGAAACTTATAGTACTATCTTAAATAGAAAATTTTTATCTCTTGTCCTAATAGAAGGCACCTGTGAAAATACATATGATTAAAACAAAATATTTAATTTTAGTTAGTTACAGTTGCCTACCCAAGGTTCTGAGTCTCAGTCCTCCTCTCTCTCTTTGCAAGTGTTAAAAGAGACAGTGAAAACCCACTAGTACCCAACCCAGGCTTTCTTATTAATATAATCAGAGGGACTGAAAAAGATAGGAGAGAAACTAAACCTTGCACCGTGGGATTTGATCACACCCACCCTGCCCCCTCCCCTTTGGTGTGTTTTCTACTCTATCTCCACTCCTCTAACATCTGTGGTCTGGGAAATCTTTCCAGAGGTAGTAAGAGGGGGAAAGGTGGGCCGGGGGGTGGGGGGCGGGGGTGCAGGTTGCAAGAGCACCACAGCCAAGGCAAAGGTAGGGAAGTGAGCATCAGCTCAAGACGCCCCCAGACCAGTGGGCAGGCCAGTGCTAACAGTGGTTCTCCCCCATGCAGAGGATTTCAGTCACCATGTCAGGAATGCAGCGAGGTGAAGAAGTCCAATTTGGTCCCATCCACAGCCCGGAGCTCCCCCATGAGAGGGTGCTCCCGAAGCTCCTCCTACGCCAGCACACGCTCCTCCAGCCACTCCTCCCGATCCCCAAACCCCAGAGCCTCCCCCAGGTACACCAGGAGCCGATCCACCTCCTCTGGGAAAAGGTGAGTGCAGTTTTGACCTGGACTCCAGCTAGCTAGGTTAACTAGAGATGTCCTTTGACCCCCAAGGAACAGGAATGGAACAGATTTGAGTTCAAATACCCATTCTCTCCATTACTAGCTGATGGCCTTGGGTGTCAGTTAACCTCTCTGATCCTTAGTTTCCTCCCCTACTGAAATGAAAACTGTAATATATCTTACCCTGAAGGGTTGTCCTGAGGACTATTAAACACTTCAATCAATACTTGGAACATAGTATCAGTTTTGATTGTTGCTATTGTCATGAGGATCCACTCATGTATCAATTATCTTCTGCTGCATAAAAGTTGCCCCCAAGGCATCCCTGGTGGTCCAGTGGTTAAGACTCTGTGCTTCCACTGCAGGGGGCACAGGTTCCATCCCTGGTTAGGGAACTAAGATCCCACATGCCATGGAGCACAGCCACCCCCCCCACCCCCGCAAAAAAATGCCCCCAAATGTAGCATCCCTATCAGTGAGTTTTTACTTCATTCCTGATTCTGTGGGTCAGCCGTTTGGGCTGGACTCAGCTGAGTGGTTCTTCTATTCCGTCTTGGGTTCACATATGTGTCTTACATCAGCTGGTGGGTTGGCTGGAGGCTGGCTTGTTTGGATGACCCCAGCTAATTCATCTCTGTTCCATGTGGCCTCCCATCTTCTAGCAGGTTTGTTTGGGCTTGTTCACGTGGTGATGGCAGGGTTCCAAAAGACAGCAGTAGTATGCAAGTCCTTGGCTTGGAACAAGCATGATCTCTTCAGCCATTTCCATAGCCACTGCAAGTCACAAGACCAATCCAGATAGATACAAGGGATGCTCCTCTTAGTGGGAGGAACTGCAAAGTCATCTTGCAAGGGGCATGGATACAGGGAGAAGAACTGTGTCCATCTTTGCATTTTACCACTCAATTCCAATAACCATTGGTTATTACTTGATTTTCTCATGTGGAATAATGATATAGCAGAATGCAGAGACATGAGATCTTGGGAATTGGAATATTGCATCCAATCTAATCAACCCATGGCTTAATGGAGTCCAGTGTCCCTCTACAAACAAGAACTTCCAACAGCAACCAGACTGTTCCTCTGTTGCAACCATATAATCAAAACACAGTTACTTATATAGGTGTTTACCTCAAGACCAGTTCAGAGTAAGAGGGCAAGGAATTCAACATGATAGAGTGACATAAATAGAAGAAAAAATCAGGCAAAATGGAAAATGAAGGAGAGGAATAGAATTAAATCAGGAGGAAGGTTAACTCCCAATGGCAGGTCCTACCTTTCTGTATAGTCAGCCCTCTGTACTTGGGAGTTTCACATCCCTATTTATGAAAGACCAGTGTATTCAATGTACTCTGCCATTTTATAAAAGGTACTTGAGCATCTACAGATTTTGCTATCTACAGGGGCTCCTGGAACCAGTCCCCCACAGGTACTGAGGGATGACGGTAGTCACTATGGGGGTGTGCTGCAAATGTGACTTTAAGCTCCCTGGCAGACAAAAATGGGAAATTGTTCCTTTACATTATAAATAAAAAAGATAAAAATTGAACTAGTTGCCTGGAAGAGCAGTTATTTCTGATTTTTAAGTATGAAAAATGATTCATCTAGTTCCACAGAAAGAGGACAGTATGTACCACAGTGGATAGAAATGCCTGACATCCTTTCAAAGTATCCAAAACCATGTTTCATCTTCATACTCTTTACTAACATCTCTCAATAAATGGGGAAAGAGCAAGTTGGCAAAAGCAAATTTTCTGGGGGCCACAGCTGGACACTGTTGTCCCAGGAGCTATTCCTTGTCCACACTCCTTTCCTCACCCTGGACAGTATGTAAGAATAGAGTCCCAGAGCGATAGTTATTATGATCACCTAAGGAAGTAGGAAGGGATTAAGGAACACCTAGGTGAGGGCAAGTTAGAGCAAAACTTCTTTTCAAATTGAAAATAGATAGGAGAACTTTGGAGAGTCCCCCCTACTCATCCCTGTGCCCATGGCAGACATTGCTAATCCATCACAGTGCTCTTTCCCACTGAACACAGACATGGCCACATAATCCCTCCCAACCCTAGCAGGAACAACTATCAGATCAAGTCATCAATTGTGAAATGAAAATTACTTGAAAGACTGAGGAAGCAGGGTAGATGTTTCTGGGAAACTGGAGAAACCAAGAGATTGGTTTCTCTAAAAGTGGAAGACATTAGCAAAAGGGAAGAAGTCTGGAAACAGCATAGGGGCTAGTAATTTGGATGCACACAGCATCGTCCAGCAGAAGTCAGGAGCATCTTGTAGCCAAACAGACATGGGTCCAAACCCCTTACCAGCTGAGTGACCTTGAACAAATCACATCATTTCTCTCTGCCTCTGTGTCCCCATCTATAGAATTGGATTGATAACAGAGTCTAACCCTAGGAAGTGCTGAGAATCAAATGGGATAATATACACAAAACATTTAGTTCAAAATCCAGCACATAGTAAAATATATGATAATCATATAATGATAAACATTTCATGTGTGCTGGTTTTACACCAAGATGCTAAGTAATTTACCCTAATTTACTCATTTAATTGACAATTCTAATTGGGTAAGTACTTTTACCATTTTACAGATCAGAAAAGTGGCCCAGAGAAGTGAAATCACCTACCCAAGGTCACACAGCTACACAATGGCCAGGATAGGAAGAACTCAATAAAGGGAAGTTGTTGATATTATTATTAACCATTCAAAAGGAAGGGGGTTTCATCCTTAGGTAAGGGCTTGGGTTCCTCCCCCTCACCTCCAGAAATAAAAAGGCCCCGGGGACCAGCTGAATAAAACGCTAGACAGACGGGGCAAGCCCGGCGGAGCTCAGCAGGCCCCTCAGCGGCTGTCTCCTCTCCTCCAGGTCCTCCTCGCGCTCTCCCAGCTATTCCTCCAAGTCTGGCAAGAGAAGCCCGCCTAGCAGAAGCTCTAGGTCGCGCCGCAGCCCAAGCTACTCCCGCTACAGTCCCAGCAGGTACAGGCCCCACCCCCAGGCACTGACCCCGCCCCTCGAGCTAGGCTCCACCTCCGGCCATGCTCCTTTGCTCAGGTCCAGAATCCGCTTGCAATGCAGGAGAACCCGGTTTGATTCCTGGGCCAGGAAGATCTGCTGGAGAAGGGATAGGCTACCCACTTCAGTATTCTTGGGCTGCAGGAGACCTGGATTTGATCCCTGGGTTGGGAAGATCCCCTGGAGAAGGGAACGGCTACCCACTCCAGAATTCTGGCCTGGAGAATTTCATGGGGTCACAAAGAGTCGGACACGACTGAGCGACTTTCACTCCCTCACTCACTCCTCTCCCGCATCGTCTCTCTGGAGCATCTCCTTAGCTCTGCTCAGTTCCTCTCCGGTCAAGCCCCGCCCGCTTATGGATGGGAAGGTGACTCAGCATTCCTAGTGGTTCCCTATGTCCTATCCAAGCGACGGTGAGGTCCCCAGAACTTCCCTGCATCCTCATGTACTTACCCCAAATCCTCAGCCACACCCCGGAATTCATATCCCCAGCCCTCAGCCTCTTCACACACCTAGTACCACCCCACATCCCTATATCCAGAGCCCCTAATTCTCACTTCTTACTCGGCACCTGGGCCCACCCACCTAACCTTCATATCCTGACCCCTGCAATGCCCACCTTCAAAGGCTGACACCCCTCCCCACGCCCAGCTGCACCCCTCCTCAGTAGCTAGTCATCCACGTAGACTCTCCCATAGCTATGCTATCTTCCCTCCGGCCTCCCTGGGAGCCCCAGCGGGGTAAAGTGGGCAGGAGGCAAAGTGGGTGCCCTTCTCCCACACGCTCACACCGAAAAAGCCAGGGCAGCCTCAGCTCCCCAGTAACCACCCCGTCACCGCACCCCTTCAGGGAGCGGAACCCCAAGTACAGCGAGAAGGATTCGCAGCAACGCGAGCGCGAGCGAGTTCGGCGGAGACGTCGGTCCTACTCGCCCATGAGGAAGCGCCGGAGAGACTCCCCGAGCCACCTGGAGGCGCGGAGGATAACGAGGTGAGGCCAGGAGGCCGGGTACCAGCTCCACCTCACTTGCACTCCCTTCCCACCCGCCCACCCGCTGGAGCCGTCTTTGGGCTGCATTTCAGGACTGTAGGAGCTCAGGGACCTCCCCCACCGTTGAAATGAGGTTTCCGTTCAAAGCCTGGAGCGAGTCAGCACCCCACCACCCAGAGGGCTTGCCAGAGGGGGCGGGGCGGTGGGCGGTGCTAGAATGAGGTGGCAGGTCGAAGGGTGGAGCCGGCCTGAGGAATCGGGTGTGGCCGGAACCTGCGGAAGCTGCCGGAATGCCGCTGGCAGGGCTGGGCCACAGAATGAGGTCCGGCCTTGCAACGGGGACGCACGCTAGGAACTGAACGCGGACATTGCATGGGGGTGGAGCCAGGCAGTGGCTCCACCCTTAGACCCACGCGCCCAGGTGCAAGGCTTGAATACAACCGTAGGTAATTATACCCTGAACCAAGGGTAGAGAGGGCGAACAAGATAGTTTAGGTACCAGAAGGGGGTGGGGGAGTGGGGTGCGCTAGTGCGTAAGGGGAACACCAGTATTTTGGAGAGGAATCTTGGCTGTGCCACTTTCAGGGTGAGCTGGGAAAGTCTCTTCACCTCCCAGAATCTTAAGTTTTTTCACCCATGAACTACTGGAGGAAATAACTACTAGAAGTGTCAGAAGAATAAAATGAAAAGAGGCAAAGAGATATGAATGCAATTTATACACTTAAATGCAGAGCACTAGAACCCACTGTGTGCCTTGTGATGGGCTGAATGGTCAGACTCCGTGGGTAAAGATTTCTGTAACAGGTAAGGTCTTAAATGAGAAAAGCCCTAGAAGAGAATCCTGAAGTCTGAGAATTCTCAGGCCTTGAAATGGAGAGAATGGCTGAATGCTGCCCTAAAAATGGCTCTTGAAAATTGGTCGGTCTTCCTCCTGGTCCTCCAAGGGTCAGCTACTCAGTCCAGAGACCCACAAGGAAAGGAGAATCCTGGCTGCCCATGAGTCCTCCCTGGAGATGACCAGAAGGAGAAAAAAGAGCTTGTGCCCCAGACGGTAAGGCAGGGTAATGGTGTCATCTTCTCAGATGTCTCACTGAACTGCCTGCTTTGGCCTGGCACATATGGTGGGAGTCCTATACTCACTGCCTTGAGTTTCAGAGGTATCCTTGGAGTGGACTTGGAGTAAGGCTAAGGAAAAGGGACTGGTGTTTCCAAAGTTCCATACTCAACCCCAAATAATCCACCTGAGTGAATCCATTCAATGTTTCCCAAGCTTCCATCACCCACCACTTTTGCCTTGTCTGATTAAATGTACTGCTTACTTAATTTTCTTTAAATAGGTATGCCTTTTGTTTAGGTCCATACATTTATTTCAAAATGAAATGATACACTACAATAAATAGAAAAATCAACCTCTTTTGCCATAAATAGAAGGTTCTAGTAAAAATAGCAAAACAAACTGTTGCAGGAAGGGGGACCCCTTCCAGGGCCCGAAACTGGGCTCTTGTCTAACACTCGGAAATGAATTGTCCGAGGAGACACATGCTGACAAAGCAAGAGATTTTATTGGGAAGGGCACCCGGGTGGAGAGCAGTAGGTAAGGGAACCCAGGAGAACTGCTCTGCCGCATGGCTCACAGTCTCGGCTTTTATGGTGATGGGATTAGTTTCCAGGTGGTCTTTGGCCAGTCATTCTAATTCAGAGCCTTTCCTGGTGGCGCACGCATCACTCAGCCAAGATGGATGCTAGCAAGAGGGATTCTGCGAAGTGGATGGACAGGCAATGTCTCCTCTCCACCTTTCCCGAACTCTTCCATCTGGTGGTGGCTTATTAGTCCCATATTCCTTATCAGGATCTCCTGTCATAAAAAAACTCATGCAAATGGTTACTGTGGTGCTTAGCCAGGGTGGGCGGTTTCAATCACTGTGCCTCCCCTAACAAAACTATGATTAAAGTTGAGATGTAGATTCTGTGGCCAGCTGGATGCTCTCTCTGAGCCCAGCCTTGCTGTGTTAAAAAAGCGAGATTATCACTTTTCAAAGCATATCAGCACTAGACTGAGACCAGCTCCTTGATGTTCTCAGGACTGCAAGGGAAGAGTAACAGGATATTATTCCCCCTAAGGAGCTGGGACTTGTCTCCTGGGACAATGCCTATGCTCCCGGGATTACAGCTGGGAGGAGTCCTGCCCTGACACTGCCCCCTGTGATCTCTGCAGTGCCCGGAAACGCCCCATCCCCTACTACCGGCCCAGCCCCTCTTCGTCCAGCGGCCTCAGCAGCACCTCCTCCTGGTACAGCAGCAGCAGCAGCCGCTCAGCCAGTCGAAGCTACTCCCGGAGCCGCAGCCGCAGCCGCAGCCGCAGCCGGAGCAGGACCCTCACTAGCAGCAGCTGCAGCTCCCGCAGCCCCAGCCTGGGCTCCCGGAGCCGGAGCCGGAGCCGGAGCCGGAGTCGGAGTGGGAGCTACAGCTCAGCAGACAGCTACTCTAGCACGAGGCGCTAAGCCAGGGCCCTCCCGTGAGCCCACTGCCCGTGGGGCCCCTTTCACTCTGGCAGTCTCCCCCACTCCCCGCCCACCCTGCCTTCTCCTTGGTGACAGACAGCATTGAGGGCTCCTAGGCCCTGTCCTTCCTGCTCTCCTGGGGAGGAGGAGAGGAGGGTTTGGGGAGCTGCTGGGAGCTTCCACCACACCCTCTGGGGCTCAGCTCAGGCCTGAGCATATGGAGAAGACTACCTTCTTTTGGCACAGAAAAGCCTCAACGGTTTGTAAGGCGCAGTGAGTCCATGACTAAGAAGTTTGGGTCTGGCCAGGAAAATGTAGAGAGAGTTCTGCTAACCCACTGCTGCCAGGCTGCATACCGAAGACCAGTGGTATTTATCACAGCTGCCCTCCTTCTCCTCTCATCCAGTCTCATGGCTACACGTGTATGGATCCCCATGAGTCCCATGGGTGAGGAGTGGATATTAGAAGAGAGCAGGGCGGTTCAGGTCCAAGAGAGGGGATCAGGAGTTTTAGCTCCCCACATAGGTCAGAGCAAGTGCTGAAAGGCTATTGGGTCCTAGAAAGGGGGACACGTGACTAGGGGACATGGACATTTCACTTGGTAGTAGCTGTCAGGAGATAGGAGATGGACTCTCTGGTCATGAGTATAGAAGCAAGAAGGAGGGGGGAATAAGTCCACTGCTCCCAGTAGCTCCTTGTGGTCAGGAAGAGGAGCCCAGTAGTTTCTAGCCATGGAGAGGCCGCCAGGCCATTTACACAAAACGCCTCTTGGTGGTTCACAGGGACCCTGCGACCTCTGAGAAAGGACACAATGGACAGTCAGGACAGCTTGGTCTGCAACCTCACTTCCCAAGTTTGCCTCGGCCCCAGTAGCTGGCAACAACTTAATTCCACGGGACCATCTGCTGAACATTCCCCAGTGCCGTGGCCAGCTGCCAGCCCCCAGCGCCAGCCAGTCTGGCCTTACCCTCCAGTTGGCGCCTGCCTGCCCCCTCCCCACTGCCCAGACTGCCGCACCCTGGGTCCTGCCCACTGCATCCAAGCGCCCACTCACCCACCTACCCACCCTCAGCCTAAGTCAGCCACTTTGCCCCTCAGGAATTTTGCCAGGATGGGGCATAGCAGCCCAGGTTTGGGGGAACGATCCAAATCCAGGGAGTCTGGGGGAAAGGAGGTTGGCTGCTCCGAAGCTCCTGCTGGTTCCCAGAGTTCTTAGCAGGCTGGGAAAGCCCCACCCTCATTTCTGCCCTCACCCCACTCCCCCCACCGCCCCGCCACCCCTGCCCGGGGCTGGGCAGTGAGGGTAAGCTGATCTCCAACACACAAACACCACCAGCTGCTTCACCCACGGAGGGCGCTGAGAACAGGGGCATGAGGGAGAAGATCCTTAAAATAAACTCTGGGGCATCCCCCTCACCAGCTGACTGGCTTTCCGGAGCCTTGCGGGTAGGAGTCCAGTTTGTGGTGGCAACAGCAGCCGGGCAGGGCATGAAGGGAGAGGGTGAGAGGGACAGTCCCCAGCGTTGGAACCTGGGGCTTTGGGAAGCAGAGAACCAAACATTCTTTATCCCTTGTACCCCGAGGAGGGGAAACATTTGAAAAAAAAAAAAATCCTGTTTCTTAGAAGCAGTGACGTCCTCCTTCCCCAATCTTTCCCATCGTATCAGCCTGTGGGGCCAGAAACTGCCCTGCAATGATCCCGAAAGTCCTTCCTCCACCAGGAGAGGGGAGCCAGGCACCAGGGCAGCAGTGGGGGACCCGGCCTTTCCATGACACCCGCTGGCCCAGAACTGGGCCCCGCCCGCCAAGACTAATGGATGCCAGCATGGTCACTGCAGAAGGCCTGATGGCAGGTGCCTGGACAGGGGCAGGTGCCCTGGGAGGGCCTGTGCAGCAACTGTAAATAACCCTCTTCCCTGCCCAGGAGCCCGAACTGGACTCCAGTCTCCCTTCATGGAAACAAAGGCTTTCTGGAGCCACGGAACCTCCTTAGCAGGACAGCAGTGAAAGACCCAAGAGCCCCCGTCCAGACTGCCTTCATCCATGCAATTCTGGGGGGGACCATTTTTGCCTGGGGCTCCTAGCTAACCTCTTATTTATTTATTTATGTTTATTTATATATTTATGGGATTCCCTCTGCCTCCCTCTCTTTTTCTCTCGGTTGCCATTAGCAGTATTCAAGTATTTATTTATTTATATGGAGAGGGTGTGTGTATCTGTGTGTGTGTGATATGTGTGTTTGGGGAGGAGGGGAAACTTCTAAAGTATTTTTGTGCATCTCTCTTTTTTTTTCCCCTCATGTCTCTATGGATGGAATTTGAGAGGCTGGATGTGGGTGGGGATGTTTGCCTTTTCCCTGAAAGGGAGAGACTTAGAGCTCTAAGCTTGGAACACACTGGAGGTGGCACAGAAGCACTTCAGGCCAAAGATTCAGGCCCAAGATTCAGGCCCAAGTCGGGTGAAGTTCAGGCTTCCGCCCCAGTCCCCCTGCCTACCAGTTACCTAACTGAAGTACCAAAAAGGTGAAAATGGTCAAGAAGCTTATGAGCTAAGGTGCTGACCTGACACTGTAGAGTCACAGCTGACATGGGGGTTAGAATCTAAAGTTAGCACATAAGGCAAAAGCTTCAAAGTCTAAATCATCTGTGAAAGACCTTTAGGGATGCAGCCAGTGTGAGACATATGTGCACCTCTGAATCTCACCCTTATTCCAGGGAATATATTAGTGGGTGAGGTCATTTGCTCTTCTGAGCCTAAGCTAAGTGTTTTCATAGAAGTTACACATGCTTCTGAACACCCCCGTAGCTAATTTCTCCCCACCCCCTGTGAGCTCAGGGTTGCCCTAGTGACAAGGTATCAGCCATCCTGAGAGAGAGAGACAAACCCAAAGCAAAAGCCTTTTTCTGTGACCTCAGGAGAGAGCATACTACTATTTCTGAAGTTGGAAAACAAACAAAATGAAAGGAGCAGCCGGAGGTTCCCCACCCCCAACCCCCTCGAGAAGGCCATTCCAAAACCTGTCTTGGGAACCAGGATCCAGAGGTCTTGACCAGCACTGGCTCTCTCACCCACTAGCAGCTGAGTAGAGAGGGTGCCCGCCCTTTCCAAAGTCACTCTTCACTGCCTTGGCATGGCCAGCTTGCCTGGTCCGGCTTTGGGTTTGGTGAGACTTTTTCAACATCCCTGATTGTTTTCCCTGGCAATGTGACTTTACTCTGCTCTAACCCAAGCAAAGGAGTACCCCTAGCCTGGGAAAGCTTGCAAGAACTTAAATGCCTCCTGGGAGAAAATCTGCCCTTCCCTGTCACTTGGTGTGTTTCTCAAATTTCCTTTACATTTTCTTTTCTTTCCATCCAAAAATAAAACTCTTATTGGGGCACTGGTAAACCTTGTTTAGCCAGCACCCTCACGCCTGGCACTGCTGTTTCTCTGCATCCTTCACCCTCAGTACACTTCTGCTTCCAGGGGATGATACAGACGGCCTGAAACCTGCTCATGGTTAGAATTTATTTTAAAAAGTAGTATGGGAAATGGGAGGGAGATGTGGCTTGAGGTCAAACAACATGCAGCCCTTTGATCCTCCTGCTCTGGATAGTCCCTGGATGTGTGGAGCTAGGCAAATTGCTTCCTTTTTCTGGGCCAAAGTTTCCACCTTTGAGAAGTGGAGGAGTTTTTGAGATACAACCCAGAACATTGACCTGACAATTCTTCAAAGACCTAATGAGTTCACTGAGACTTAGAGAAAAAAGGAAAATATCCTCAAACATTTTTAGGAGGTTCTCAATCATGAGAATAAAGCCTAAAAGCAATGTGTGAACTCCCATTAGTGGATTTAGAAAAGTGAATTCAAATCCCCCACCCAACATTCTAGTTGATCCAGGTTGGACTGCATTTCTGCCTCCATCTGTTCCCTTCTTTGAAGGAAAGTCAGTCTTTCAGAAACAAAACACACAAATTGTGATGTTTGAAAGACACGGGGCTCTCAGTCTCAGAGAGCCCCCATCACTTTATTTACCAAGATCCATCTTCCTTTCCCAAAGGCTTTGCTTGAAGAGGTGAATATTTGGGGTGCTCCCAAAGGTTCAAAGTCCATTTTCTTCTTCTCAAGCCTCATTTTTATCTTTTCTTTGCTGTATTCCTTTTCACAAATATTCGAAATAGCCTTACGTGCTTTACCTTCTTTTCCAGCTGAATAGAAAATTGTGTCTGATTTAAAAAAAAAAAAACCAGAATCCTCAAACTACATCCCTTCCATTGGCCAGCGGTGTCCAGCTGAGGACCTTAGGGTAGATACAGTGTCAATCGAGCAATGCTTTGTCGCATCTGCTTCCTTCTCTGCACCCATGGACCAGTGATACCGATGGGGTTGTCATCACCCCTCTGTGGCTGTTGTTTTGCATTATTTTCAGTTTTCCGAGGGTTTGTTGGTTTTGTTTTTTGTTGGTAGTTGTTTTGCATTGTAAATACCATGATGGGGGCCCCTCATCAGGACATGGCTTAATGAATAATTTATTTCCTATTTATTGAGTGGTATTGGGAGAGGTGAGAGACCACCTCTTCTCCGGAAACGTTATTGGAAATCAGCCTGTCTCTTAGCTCCACTGTCTGTGGTGGGGACGTTCTCGCCCAGGTAATGAGTGCTAGAATCACCCGGCAAATTGGAATTGGCAGAAACGGAGGCTTCAGTCATACAAATTAAGCTCAAATGGAACTAAAACACTGGTTATCTCCGGGAAAACCTCATTTAGATGGAAATTAATTGAGGAATGAAATGCCTGTGCACAAACCAACTTCTATTAAAAAGTCACAACTCCTTGAAAAAGAGAGGGAGTGAAAAAGAGAATGAAAATTGTAATTCCTTTTCTCCGGCCAAGAAAAGCTGTGCCTCATCTTCTAACGAGCTGAGCCAAAGAGACTGGAACAGCATTCTTATGTGGTTCTCTTGCCTATATGTGTCTGTCTGGGTACAATGGAGTGTTCTCAGGCCTCAGTCTTATCATCTGTAAAATGGGTCTTGGCCTAAGTTTTCTTGGTAGGGCGGAAGGAAGTGTTCTAACTCTGAGGCGGTAAGTTCCAGACTGTCAGATGTAGAATCCCTCGTGTCTTCTGCTGACTATAGGTTGAAGGGTCAGAAAAAAATAAAGAAGCAGGGTGTGGACTTACTTTACAGAGTGAGTTGGGAGTAGCTGAGTCCTGGCAGAAACGGGAGACCTCCAGGTTCTGGCACCTGGGAACTTCTGTGGCCTGGTGAAAGCCCTCTGTATGAGCTTGAACTTCTCTCCAAGCCCAATCATCCAGCATATTCAAAGGACAGGCCCGGATGGCTTTGCCATGCTCCGGATTTCAGACCCCGTGTATTGTGTCATGCCACATTTTGTGCAGCTGATCAAACTAGCCAGCGAGGCTAGTCATGTTGCTGTGACCCATTTTTCAGGTGAGAAAACTGAGGTCCGGGAAGGGGGCGCTTGACCTGCCCAGGCTCCCTTGAGCTCCGAGCTGCCTGACCCCATGCCCTCCCCTTGTCTCCCCTGGTAGCTCTTTCTTGCCAGGCGTAGGCTGTGAGGAATTCTCTTTGTGCTATATCTTTTCTCTCCTGATCTCCAGCTGTCTCCTTCAGCAGCCATTGGCCAAGGACCCAGTAGAACATACCACAGCAGCCCTGAGAGGGGGCTTGATCCACCCCAGGGCCATTTCTCCACATCAGGGGCTGGAACTCCCATCTGGAAAACCCCAACTTGGGGGACCCACCAGCAGCCCAGCTCAGCCCGAGCAGCCGGCCTCTACCCACCCGCCCACATCAAAGGAGGAGAAGCTGCTCTGTCTGCTGGCATCCTGGGACCCTGTCCTCCACGCAGTGACACAGCCCGTGGCTTGTTTGATATCTGGTGTCCACAGCTAAGCATAACCTTCCTGGGGTTTCTGGCTTTTTTTTTCCAGCCTGTACAAAACATGTCTCTGTTCTAATAAAAGGTGCCATGGTATGGTGTTCTCATCCTTGGCCCAGCATCCTCTGTCTACGTGTGGTGCCCAGAATCAGGGGGAGGGTGACAGGGAGGTGGGGACAGAGAAGAGCCATCAGCGCCTGCCGTGCGCGACATGTTGCCCCAGTGCCCACCTTGCTCCTTTCTTCAGGACAAGCCTGTAAGGGTTCGGGTTCACACACACATTCACAGCAGCCACCTTTCCCGAAGCCTTCTTAATCTTAGTCTTCGGCACCACCTGTCTTAGGTGTAGGTGTTAAGATCTCTTTTCTACTAAGAGGAAAATGGAGGCCCAGGAAAGCAAAGTCACCAGCCCAAGACCACAGAGTCCATGATAGGATGCGAGTGGACTGACTCCAGACACATCTATTCTCTGCTCTGCCCCACAGCACATCTGCTCGTGAAGTAAGTGGCCAGTTTTCTTTGGTAAAAGTTTTTCTCTGAGGTCTTCACAGTCAGGAGGAAGCTCAGTCCGGGGCACAGATATGGGAGTCCAAAGACCTGGATTCTAACCTGGACCCTAGAGGGATGCCAGGGAGCAAGGGCCACACCCCACCGGGCCTTGGGTTATTCATCTGTAAAACAGCGACAGCAACAGCGAGCTCCCTGGGCTGCCCTGAGAACCAGATGGAATAGTGGTGCTAAGAAAACAAAATAACAGGCTGAGTCCATAGGAAGCACAATGCTGGTGAGCATGATGACTTTTCTAAATCGAGTCTGAGTTATGGGAGGGACTCAGAAAGACAGCCTAAAGTAGCCTGCTCAGAACAGCGGGGCCCCCAAGACCCAGTGGAGGCCTCCAGAAATGTTCTCACTGTCCCATGTGAAAGTTTCTTGCCATAGAAAACAGGTGTTGAAAACACTCACAGGGCAACCAGGTGAGGAAGTGGACAGAGTTGGGACTCTGGGGAGCCAGGAAGGCCAATGCACAGTTGCCATAGAGAAATCTCAACTCAGGGCTGCCACGTCTCTCAATTTATCCAGAGAATCCGAATTTTTAGATTGAATTTCCTGATTTTTAAAATGTTCAAAACTCATTCCTTTTTTCAAATACTATGTGGGTCCAAAAAAATTGTGTACATGCACACACACACACACACAGATAATATCATCCCAGAATAACATCCCAGGGGCCAGAGAGGAGGATGTGACTCAGCCCCACCTTCACTCCCACCCCCAGGGCCACTGGGAGATTGTTTCAGCCCCTTGTTTACACCTGAGTGGGTTATTAATTAGCTCAGGAGGAAAGATCAAACAAAACAGGCTACCACCACCCCTCCAGAAATCTCCCTCGGGAATCTTAGATGGGACTACCTCCCTGGGGAAGATTCAAAACTATCACATCGAAAAAGACACACAGATGTACAGAAAAGACTTTTGGACTCTGGGAGAAGGCGAGGGTGGGATGTTTAGAGAGAACAGCATTGAAACATGTATATTATCAAGGGTGAAACAGATCACCAGCCCAGGTTGGATGCATGAGACAAGTGCTCAGGGCTGGTACACTGGGAAGACCCAGAGGGATGGGATGGGGAGGGAGGTGGA